ACACGTGAGCCATGCATGCACAACCTTCCTTGACGCAGAGCAGACTCCATGTTCTTTCCGTTGTCGTCACTAGGTTCCGATTTTTCAGTTTGCGCGGAGACAGCCATCCTGTCGATTTCTCTGTTCATTACACTCAGAAGTTACCTCCCCTGTGTGACTAACACGTTCGCCAAGCATACCAGGTGCAGCACAGCGTGACACCGTTGCGCCCTGCACTTGTGATATGCCGAGTGTCGGAGTAATGGGACTTGAGCACGGGGTGGCGGCTGAGGGACCACGGACGGAAGAAGAGGTGGTAGAAAAAAAGGCGGACATCTTTGCTGGACCAAGGACGTGCAAACGTGGAGGCAAAAGCGGCGTGACCTGTGCCAAGTTGCTGGTGCGGCTGTGCCGTGCGCCACGTTCACGCCCGGTATGTGCCGTAAATGACATGTACTGTCCCTGACCGTAGTTACAGCTGCCACACGTCGGCGCAGCCGTGCAACTTTGGCAGAGACCGACATGCTCAAAGACTTGGCCCACCATCTCTTCTACATGTGAATGCAGGGCTGGCAACTGCCATTTATTGGCGAAGAAATGCCGGCTTGGCACTCTCCACCGCGGCTCGGCACAAAGCCATCATTTCTCGAAAGGTGCTGAGTTGTCCACCAACTTGGAAAGGGAGGACTGCATGCAACCAGCAACTTGGACAGGAGGACGTTCAGCTTCTGCACCGTCGGGTGCGTGCTCACAAACTGTTGTCTCTTGAGAGACGGATTCCAAGAAAGACTGCTGACGTGGAATCCGTGAAGAGGAGTAGCAGGAGAAGGAGCATCGTAGGAACGAGTGCGGAAGATGCCAACACGAGCGACAGCTCCCCCTCAGCAGAGGTGTTGGAAGAGCCTGACTGGTGGCTGGGATAGAGGGCGATTGACGTCGTGTGACGGAGCAAGTAACGGAGCTGGTGAGGAGCGGGGGGCTGGGGCAGGCAGAAAACCGCCGTATCTTTATCACGATTTTCCCAGGCCACCGAATGGCGACGCTGCCATAATCGCTGACAGCAACGCTGTAGTCCCAACATGGCCCCCTGGCCACAGCTTGACTTGCCTGGGCCACATAGTCCGACACCAACAGCAACGTTAACTTCCTCGTACGCGGCTCGGGCGGACGAAAAATTGCCACATACACCGCCGAGTAGGAGACGTTTAGCCCCCGCTATCTAACACTAGCCTCATGGCTGACTGCTACTTCGCTCATCCTCCGTGACACACCGGCACCACTACTGGCCCCATGGTGGTAGGCTGCACTATGTGAGCTGGTGCTCTACTCCCGTGGCCGTTATGGCTCCACTGACACTGCTGCGACCCTGCTGCCTCCTGTGGCAACCCACCGACTGTTTTTGCTCGCTGGCAAGCTGGCACCCTCTTCTCCTGATGATGCGGAAGCAATAGCCTGGATGACGACGAGGCTGCCAAGTGCGAATCAGCCTCATCATCATCAATTAGGGTCTCCGCGTCACTACTACCCCCCCCCTCGCTGCGTGTGGTCAGGAGACAGACCTGTCTCTAGACCGGTCTACCGAGCCACATTCTCCTCGCCAGTACTTCTTCTTCGCCTGGCTGCTGAAGAGGCGGATGTCTCCCCCCGTATTCCTGACCGCCCTCTGTTAGCTCTTCTTTCACTGTACAAGTGGGGGGCTGAGCCCACAGCAATGCGATACTTCGCTTGGTGAAGGGAACACCAAAGGACAGGGGCAAGGTCGAGGACACGTGATTTCAGTGGGCTTGCTCCCCTGGGCCATGCCAAGCCCCACTAAACGGTTGTGTCTGACGTACCCACCGACCGTTGGCTGTAGGTGTCAGAGGTGACCTGGGAAGAGGAAGACGACCGAGTCAACCAATCGATGACGGCAGGGTTGTCGGTGGAGACACGACCGCTGATTGACACCGGGAGCAACTGGGCCTCTGGCTGCGACTAGTGCTGCCTCCACCCCTTCCTCTGCTGCCCATGTCTGCTCGCTCCTGAAACATTGCCTCCTCTGCCACTTCTCTGCGTGTTAGTCTGACATACTCTTTAATTCAATAAGCAACCCCACCCCAAAAATAAAACCGATTTAACTCTTGAACGTACAATAGTGTTGTGAAACAGAAAGTCAGTTTATTTAGCACAATCGGTCAATTGCAGCTTGCCGTTTGGCTTGGAAACTGTACGTTTAATGTCACTGGAATGCACTAATCACCCAAAAAATATTACCGCCACCCCCCGCGTGTAAATGGATCTAACTCTTTGAACGTACAATAATGGTTTGTGAAGCAGAAAGTCAGTTTATTTAGCACAATCGGTCAATTGCAGCACCAACTGATGCACGACAGCCACCAAAAAAAAATGGTGTATGTCACTTAAAATTTTCGATTCTTCTTTGATAGCTGTGGCCCTAAGTAACGATTCTGTGTCCCCTGATAACGATTCTGTGTCCCTGAGTAACAATTCTGTGTCCCTGAGTAACGATTCTGTGTCCCTGAGTAACGATTCTGTGTCCCTGAGTAACAATTCAGTGTCCCTGAGTAACGATTCTGTGTCCCTGAGTAACGATTCTGTGTCCCTGAGTAAACGATTCTGTGTCCCTGAGTAACAATTTCTGTGTCCCCTGAGTAACGATTGCTTCTGTGGCCCTAAAGTTTCTGTGGCCCTAACTCTGTCCCTCAATACACAGAGTCTGTCCTCTCTTGAATGACCGGAGGCTAATGTAGAATTCTAAGATGGCCGCGATTTATAGCTCCACCATTACACAGTGCTGGCAGGCTGGCTGCTGATTGCTAATGCGATCACATGTCCATGATTCATGACTCATGAATGCATTATGGGTCAGCGCGCCTTGTCTGCGCGCCTTCCCAGAGATCCCCGATTTCGAGCATTCCCATCGGATTCGTCGCTGTCCATCTTTTTCTCCTGTCGCCATCACACATGTCGCCGCCATTTTTGGGTAGAAAATTCGATTCGTGCATCCGAAGTTTGCTAATCTTCGGATTCGTCGCGAATAGAATTCCTTTTTTTCCAAATCTTCGGAACGAATTCCACTTCGTCATGTTCGACCAAATATTCGCTCATCTCTATATATAATGATACAATGTATAATAGGACAGCAGCGGGAGCCAATGATGAGGCAGGGACCCGGGAGAGCTTCTGCTCTTGTGCACATGGCTGGATCTGGATCAGGCTCAGGTGAGTATAAGGGCGAATGCATGAAGGTAAAAAAAACCTTCAAGCTTTAGAGCCACTTTAGGAATTTTGGACCTACACATTGCTCAGATGTGAATGGGGCCGTAGTCTCTATAATCCACGCTTGTTGAGTGTCAGTCTAATCTTCAGCTCTCTTGATAGAACTTCTACTTGAACAGTTATTTATGTAAAAGAGATGTGATAGAAATAATAATTAGTAGATGGCAGAATATTTTGCAAGAAGTCAATTCTCATGAAAAGATTTGTTTTATTTTCTTTTACCTGCTACTTCTGACAATGGCTTCTAGCAATAAGTACATGTAATGACTCTTATTTATGGTTTTGTATATATTTTTCTCTTGCCAGTAGCTTGGCAACAACAGTACTTGAGAGAATGCATCAACGTTTTATTACAATGCATCCCAAAACATATTTTATTTCCAGTGTTATTTTTTAATGCTACAAAATCAGCGGGGGGCAACCTAAGTTACACATCCTGCTGCGGGAGCGGCTCCAGCTAACATGAAATTGCATTCTGCAGCTGTTTGGAAACCTGCAGCATCCAGAATACAAAACAGTGTTTGTAGAGATGGAACAAGCGAATTGCTGAGAACAAAAGCAGGTTGGTAAAACACCAGCATGCCAAAAGATGTCCTTTAAAATAACATCAGTCATCGTAATATGTATCCTCTTCAGTTCTTCAGCTGCTGAGGAACACTTGAAGTACCCATTCGGATAGCTACAAGGAATCCAATGACTTCTTCTATGTAGTCAAAAGTTGCCAAAGGGCTTCAATTTTCTCTTTTGTAACATTTGTTACATGTAATGGTGTGTATCCCATGTCCTGAAATAAATTAAAGTGGTTCTAGAGGCAGAAGGTGTTTTTTTTTTACTTTTGTGCATTCTATGCATGAAGGTAAAAACTTTTAGTGTGCAACACAGGGGCGGACTGACTATTTGGAAACTCGGGCACTGCCCGAGGGCCCTGGGTCAGTAGGGGGCCCCATGAGATGTCCCTGGTACCTTTTTCATAGGCTTTTTTGAGTTTGGGCAAGGACACAGGGGCCCCATGATCCCCTATTGCCCGGGGGCCCCATGAGTTGTCAGTCCACCCCGGGAATGGCTATTATGTACAATATGCTATATATATTGTTTTTACATATATTTTACATCGGCATAATCAGACCTAGAGGGTTCACTAAATTGTTACATTATTATTATTATTATACAGTATTTATAAAGTGCCAATAGTTCGCTCAGCGCTGTACATTACAAAGGGGGACAGAACATGTGACAGAACAATAACAAGACAGTGCGATACACAAGGGGTTCGAGGACCCTGCTCCTTGGAGCTTACAATCTAGGAGGGAGGGGATGGTGGCACAGGAGGAGATAGCTGTGGGGGATGGAGTGGCAGGAAGAGTGGAGGAGGTCGGGAATTAGCAGGGGGTGGGGTAGGCTTCCCTGAAGAGATGGGTTTTCAGGGTGCGCCTAAAGGAGAGGAGAGTAGGTGATGATCTGATGGGTTGGGGCAGGGAGTTCCAGAGGATGGGTGACACCCTGGAGAAGTCCTGGAGGCGGGCATGGGAGGAGGAGACCAGGGAACTAGAGAGAAGGAGGTCTTGTGAGGAGCGGAGTGTGCGTGTTGGGTGGTACTTGGATGTTAGGTCAGTGATGTAGTTCGGGGCAGTATGGTGGATGGCTTTGTACGTCAGTGTTAGGATTTTGAATTTGATCCGTTGCGCAATCGGAAGCCAGTGGAGGGATTGGCAGAGGGGGGTGGGTGGAGGACACTGAGTGGAGGCCAGTGGAGGGATTGGCAGAGGGGGGTGGAGGACACTGAATGGAGGCCAGTGGAGGGATTGGCAGAGAGGGGTGGAGGACACTGAGTGGAGGCCAGTGGATGGATTGGCAGAGGGGGGTGGAGGACACTGAGTGGAGGCCAGTGGAGGGATTTGCAGAGGGGGGTGGAGGACACTGAATGGAGGCCAGTGGAGGGATTGGCAGAGAGGGGTGGAGGACACTGAGTGGAGGCCAGTGGAGGGATTGGCAGAGGGGGGTGGAGGACACTGAGTGGAGGCCAGTGGAGGGATTGGCAGAGGGGGGTGGCAGAGATGGAGCGGTTGGAAAGGTGAATGAGTCTGGCAGCCGTATTCAGGATGGACTGAAGCGGGGATAGCCAGTGGCGAGGCAGGCCAGTGAGGAGGGAGTTGCAGTAGTCGAGTCGTGATATGATGAGGGAGTGGATGAGCTGCTTAGTGGTTTCTGGGGTTAGGAACGTGCGGATTTTGGCTATGTTGCGGAGGTGTCAGTCCGCCCCTGGTGCAACAACACCCCCCCACCCCCAGCCCTCCTAATATTAAATGAGCCGGTCTCAATCCAGCGATGTGTACAAGAGCAGCAGCTCTCCCTACTCTCTCCCTCCTCATTGGTTCAGAGACAGCAGCAGGAACCATTGGCTCCTGCTGCTGTCAATCACAGCCAGTGAGGAGGAGGCGGGGTAGAGCTGCACTCTGTGTGTCAATGGACACACAGAGCTAGCTTGGAAGTGAGCATGCAGCAGGGGGGAGGAGCCAGGAGCACCAGCGGGGGGACTTGAGAAGAGTTGGATCAGGGCTGCTCTGTGCAAAACCATTACACAGAGCAGGTAAGTATGACATGTTTGTTTGCTTGTTTTTTAATTACCTTTAGTGTAACTTTAACAACATCTTTGCACACCCACTGGTTATATAAGATAGCAAAGCACAAGATAAATAAAGAGAAAACTGCATTTTTCCTGGGTTGGTACCAGGGGCGGACTGACAACTCATGGGGCTCCTGGGCAATAGGGGATCATGGGGCCCCATGAGTCCTTGCCCAAACTCAAAAAAGCCTATGAAAAAGGTACCAGGGGCATCTCATGGGGCCCCCTACTGACCCCAGGCCCTCGGGCAGTGCCCGAGTTTCCAAATGGTCAGTCCGCCCCTGGTTGGTATTAAGTATGCTGGAGAGTGACTGGGGAGAGTTTGGTGCTGGTATGGTTTGGGTGTTTTCTTGTGTTTGTGTGACCACTGCATGGTGCGTTTGCACCGAGGGGTTAAATTGCCCCTATTGTTGCATTATGTCTGCCTTAATTCCTTATGTGTGCTCTGGGTAGCCCTCATATAGGCTTTACTTCTGGCAATATTGTGGTAATGTACTACTGTACCTTTGTTTTTTCTCTTCCTACTGTTATAGGGGGTTTCTTTTGTGAAAATCTTAAATAAACAGCTTTCAAAATACAGAGAAAATATGGTTCTATACAGGGGCGGACTGACAACTTATGGGGCCCCCGGGTAATAGGGGATCATGGGGCCCCTGTGTCCTTGCCCAAACTCAAAAAAGTCTATGAAAAAGGTACCAGGGGCATCTTATGGGGCCCCTTACTGACCCCGGGCCCTCAGGCAGTGCCCGAGTTTCCAAATGGTCAGTCCGCCCCTGGTGCTATACCTCCAAAAGGAGTTCAGTCCTACCCTCCAAAACAAACATAGATATGTAGAGTAGGTATGTGCACGCCAGAAATTTTCATTTAGTTTCAGATGCATTTGTTCATTGAAGATTTATGTTTTCGTCACATTCGTTATGTTGAACTGATTTATTTTTGGAATTCCTTCGTATCTTTGTCATTCATTTTGTATATTCAGAAGAATAGCTGGTTGTTAAGGAGCAGGCGGCTGCCGCGTCCTTAGCAACTGTGACTCATCTTCTGTCAGCAGGATTCCCCGCTGACAGCAGAATGAAAACAATACAAGTGCCGGCATTACAAAATAACCCCCAAAAAAAAACCCAAAGCCCCCCCAGGCCCTTCAGGTTTCACATTGATTTTGAGGGGAACCCCACTCCAAAAGGCATGGGGTCCCCCCAAAATCAATATCAGACCGGTATCTGAGCCTGCAGCCAGGCAGGCCAAGAAAAGGAGGGAGGGTGAGCAAGTCCCCCCCCCCCTCCTGAACCATACCAGGCCATATGCTCTCAACATGGTAGGGTGCTTTGGGGGAAGGAGAACTACCCTCCAAAGCACATAGTCCCCATGTTGTTGAGGGAAAGGGACTCTTCCTCACAACCCTGGCCCGATGGTTGTGGGGATGTGGGGGTGACTTATTGAAAACCTTTTAAGAAGGGGGCCTCCAGATTCCAGGCCTCTCATATGAATGAATATGGGGTACCTCTACTCATTCACTCAAAAAAATGTCCGAAGTAAACAAAAACTCAAACAGTTTTTGACAAGTCCTTTATTCAATAAATAAACAAACATGTCCCCAATGCAAATCCAGCATCAACCATGACAAATGCCGGATCACATGGAAAAAAACAAAAAATCCAGCCACCCACCAAACATGACCAGTTCCCTAGAGAGACTCTTCCTGAATGGCAGCTGCCAGTAAGTAAACATGGGGGTGGGGTCAGCTAGTGATATCACCAACTGAAAACGCCGCCATGATGTCACTCTGAGACCCTGTTCATGAAGTCATGGGGGCGTGGTCAGACAGAACAGGAAGTGAATGTAAATCTCTCAAAACAGGACACATTTGGCTAAAGGAAAGAAAACTGACGGGTTTAGATAATTTTCTACTCTATCCACTGGAAAAAAAAGAGTCAAACTTAAAGGATTTTTTTTTAATTCGCAATACTGGGTACATTTTTACCTTTTCATTTCTTAAAAGCCTACTAGAGGCGCAAAGAGCAGATAAGAAAACATTGGGATCATTGTTCATTTTAATAAACAGCTTGAAACAAAAATAGGCGCATACGTTTGGTATTTTAGCACTTCTCCCAGCATTTTATTCAGACACCTGCCCAGGCTATCATCTACTGAACCATCACTTCAATCAGAAGCCAATTAACCTACCAGCAGGACTTTGGACCAAGACAGGAACCTCAAGCATCATGAAGGGGCCCAAGCACTTTCTCATTACTCTCACAATATCCCCAGATCCAACATTAATGTGATAGTTAGATGATTGCATGTATAAAGGAAAGTAAAAGGAGCTTCTGTCTTCTATCAGTATTATTTATGTGAGTTTGTAAATTAAGTTGTAGCAAACAGTCCCAAATTCAGGGCCGGTGAAACAAATAAACTAGGATTATTATTACGTTGTATTATGTTTATATGATATCATTTATAGGGATCTACCTGCAACCAACTGATTACTGGTAATGCACTTGTGTGAACCATACCACGTGTTAATTCTCTTGAATCTATGGTAGCTCCACTGGTAAACCCCATAGACCAGCTGACCCAATACTAACCCGTCATTCCACCAATACTAATGCTAACACCCCGAGAGTGTATGTCCAACAAAAAATAGTTTTTTACTTTAGGATATTGTGAAGAAGAATTAAAACCTCTGTTGGGGTTTTGACTGTTATCCAGGACTCCATTCGAGAGCAGGGGCGGACTGACCATTTGGAAACTCGGGCAGTGCCCGAGTGCCCAGGGTGAGTAGGGGGCCCCATGAGATGCCCCTGGTACCTTTTTCATAAGCTTTTTTCAGTTTGGGCAAGGACACAGGGGCCCCATGATCCCCTATTGCCCGGGGGCCCCATGAGTTGTCTGTCCGCCCCTGTTCAAGAGTTTTCCCTTACTAGCTGTTTTGTTGGCTTCAGTTTCATCAGACAGAGAGACAGAAATCTTTAAAATTAACACAGACAGAAAATAAAGTATGTGTTTTTTTTTGCTATTTGTGTTCCGATTGGAGAATTTCCCTCAGTTGTCATCTTGACAGCAGGTAAGGGGAATCTAACTAACGGAGCCGTCAATAGTAGTTTCAAATCCAACAGGGTTTTTAAAATCCCAACAACAACAAAAAAACCCTGGCTGATGAAAGAGCGCGTCTGGACTCATCTCGTCCTGCACATGCTCAGAAACGTGTCACATTTTGATGATGTCAGACGCCACATGGGCTGATCCCGAACATCTTGGAGACTCTGCCAGGCTCCACCATCCATGCTGCACATGCACAGCACCATCTGCTGGCAGACACCTTGGAGATTCCACCAGGCTTACCATCCATGTTGCACATGCACAGCACCATCTGCTGGCAGACACCTTGGAGATCCCACCAGGCTTACCATCCATGCTGCACATGCACAGCACCATCTGCTGGCAGACACCTTGGAGATTCCACCAGGCTTACCATCCATGTTGCACATGCACAGCACCACCTGCTGGCAGACACCTTGGAGATTCCACCAGGCTTACCATCCATGCTGCACACGCACAGCACCACCTGCTGGCAGACACCTTGGAGATTCCACCAGGCTTACCATCCATGCTGCACATGCACAGCACCATCTGCTGGCAGACACCTTGGAGATTCCACCAGGCTTACCATCCATGTTGCACATGCACAACACCACCTGCTGACGGACTCAATCGATCTCCTCTCTGGATCAGACACACAACAACATCTGGCTACAGACGGCTCACCCCCTTACCCATGAGCCTGTTTTTAAATTCTAAGATGTGAGTTACTACTTATCTTTTTATTAAATACCTTCACAGTACACACTTAGAGGCGCTGTGTTTCTTTGTTTTAAAAATCCCAACCCATCCTAATCAAAACCATAAAAAAAAGCTTAGACTGTAATTCCATTGACTATAGCCATCTACCTTAATGCTGCTTCTGTCACCTGCCCTGAATCCATGCTGACCCCGGCCTACTTCTAACTTTATTGCCCAATGCTAAAGTCAGCCATACATGGATCAAAATTCGACCAGCTGGCTGATTGTACTCAAGTCTTTCCATCGATCGACTTGGGTACAACCAGACTGCCAGGTTTTTCAACATAAGATTACTGCCAGGGGCTATAGCCAGTACCAGTAATTATTGTGAGCCTATCACTGAGAAGGCTTCTCGAGTCCCTCAGCCAACAGAACACAAAAGTGCTGCGGGAGGCATTCCCACATCAGCACTGACTGTATTGATGGGAGAATCAAATGATTCTCTTTCCTTCCACTTGTGGTGGAAGGAAAGAAAATCAAATCATCTCTGGGCTGACTAACACCCTTCCACCTGACACTTCTCATAGATTTAAGAGCACAATTATTTGTGGTGGCACCAGTGGTGTATTTAGGTTTTGTGCTTCCCTAGGCAATGCAAAAATTGGCCGCCCCCTCCGGAAAGAGCTTGACACCAACCAACACCACTCAGAAAAAGGAACATTGGGACCAGGGGGATTCCAAGAGAGACTGTGGGCTGCTTGATGGTGTATGCAGAGCCCAACTGTCATTCCTGGGGATGGCCAGTGCTGTGAAGGATCTCTCCGCAGGAAAGGGTGGTCTGGAGTTGGTTG